CCAAAAATGTCCTCCCCCATGTTTCAGTGTGACCAAAACACACACACACACACACACAACGAAAACCACTTTTTAATCTTTCTAGGAGTAGTTTATGATTGGGTTACACCCTGCATTTCCTCCCACCCCCTAGATGTCCTCCATTTTGGAGGACACCCCTCTGGCCACCCTTTGCTTGCTCCAGTTCCTACTCCAGGAGGCTTTCTAGTAAACTCTCTTTCTCTAATGCGGACTTGGCCTCCCTCTTGGCCGGATGAGGGGGGCTTCCCTTGCTGGCCCACCTGCGCCTCCTTCCACTGCATGGAGCCAAGACAGCCCAAGCGCTATCGAACCGGGTTAACCCTGCAGCGCGGACGCAGCAGCCTAGGTTCATCCTGGGCGTTATCCCCAAAACTGATCCTCACTTCCTTGGCTCTCTGGCTGGCTGGCTGGCTGGCTGCAGCCTGCAAGTGAACAAGGCTCTTTAGTGCTGGAGCATTGCTGCATTTCTCAGGCCTCAAGGGAGGTTCCCTTGACTGCTGCTTCTCTTCATCAGGGCTTCCTCCCCATCTTTCCCACCCTTTCCTTAGGCATCCCCAGCATTTCCCCTTACTCTTCTGCCAGAGTAAGGTCCAAGAAGGAAGAGATGGAGGGGAGAGGTTTAGACGCATCCCAGGTACTGCTGCGTTTGATTCCTCCTCCTTTCTTGCACCAGTCTGTGGGTGCTGCTGCATCTCCCTCTCCCTCTCTCTTTTTCTCTTTCTTTCTTTTCCTCCCCCCCCCCCCCATCTCCATATTTTAAGCTGCTCCTTCTGCTCATGGGATGATCATCATCCTCCCTGCCAGGTATGTAAGCAAGTATACATACCTGGCAGGGGAGATCCCATGATCTCAAAGGTGGTTTTCCCAGGGTGAGGCTCATCCATTGCACTCCGGATGTGCTGACCCCTGCAATTTCCCCAAATGCGGGATCATCCTCATCCTCATCATCTTAGCCAGCATTTCCTGGGAGTTGCCTTTTGTCTCACTTAAAGATATGACTGAGGAGGTGGGAGAGGAAGAGATGTTTTTCCCTTCCCAGGCCTGGTCATCTTGGTTGGGTTTTGCTTCCCAGTTTAGCCATGATCCTCCAGGATGCAGACAGGATGCCTTTTGTGCATTAGGTGTATAGAGGACCTATTGCCCCCTCTAACTTTCTCCTGGTTGCAGTTATATTGCCCTCCCTATCACCTTTTGGAGCTTGTGTCTTGTATCCGTTCCTCTGCCACCCTTGGCAATTTTGCTAGCAGTCCTATCCATTCCTCCTCCTCCTCCTTCTTGTTTCTTCTTCTTCTTCTTCTTCCTGTGCCCCTTCTTCTTCTTTTTTGTTACTACCTTTTTAAACCTATACTGACAAAAAAGATAAATAAACACAAGCCAAACTGTCATCCTTGTCTGCATATTAAATAAAAGTTTTCATTCCCATTTTGCAGACATGAATGCTAGTTCAGGGTGTTGCAGTGAGTTTGGAACAAGTCTAGAACACAAAAGACTATTCGTCTTATAACAGAAATGAATTTTCCACCTTTTAGGGAGCCCAAACTCCCTAAAAGGTCAATACATGCATCTATCCTAGTTAACTTTTCTTGGGGTATATGATCTTTTTTCTTGCCTTACCCTTAATTTTGATATAATGATTTGACTTGCATTCTTAACTCGGTGTCACAGATTCAGCCTTCCTTTTTTGTTGTTGTTCCAGGGGAGCTTTTTCAGTAGTTCGTCGCTGTGTGAAGAAAACCTCATCCCAAGAGTATGCTGCAAAGATCATCAATACCAAGAAGCTGTCAGCCAGAGGTTAGTGCCTGAATGCTGGTTTTTGATCAGGTTCCCTTACAGGGCCACCATGAGGAGCTGATTTTAATGTTCTTTATTTCAAATGATGTGACAAGCAGCAGCTGTGATTTTCTCTGTGTCAGTGCTTCAATTTTTTTTATTGTGCTGCCCTAAAGTTAAAATAATAGTATGGTCTTGTTTTCTGGATTTAAAAAACAACAACTAGGTATTAATTAGCCTTTGGCATATTGCTCTACTTTCCTTGGTAGTACCTCTTAGTGGTTTCGTGCTAGGTTTTTTGCTTTTGAGTTGGTTTTTAGTATTTACTAAAAAAAATCTATTTATATATGTCACTATCTTGGGAATAACTTAAATGAACTCTGTGTGGTCTGCTTCTGTGTAATCATACACAAGATTGGGTCAGAAATGCCCCTGGAGATCATAGAGTTGGAAGAGACCACAAGAGCCATCCAGTTCAACCCCCCTGCCATGTGGGAATACACAAAGCATTCATGACAGATCTCCATCCAGCCACTGTTTAAAAATCTCCAAAGAAGAAGACTCCATCACTCTCTGAGGGAGTGTGAACAGCTCTTACTGTTAGGAAGTTTAATTGTCCCAGTCTCTATGGCAGCAGAAAACAAGCTTGCTCCATATTCAAGCTGGTACTTTTTATCCAAAAAAGGGGAAAAATAAGATTACTCTGGTGTGAATTGCTTTTGAGAAACCCATGTTGACTTTTACTGACCATGGCATTCCTTTCTAAGTGCTTACAGACTTTCTGATTAATGATCTGCTCTAGAATCTTTCTTGGCATTGATATCAGGCTACTGGATAGTAATTGTTTGGGTCCTCTTTTTTCACCTTTTTGAAGCTAATGACAACATTTACCCTCCTCCTGTCTACTGGGACTTTTCCTGTTCTCCAGGAATTCTCAAAGATTGTTTCCAGTGTTTCCGTGATTACTTTTGCCAGTTCTTTTAATGCCCTTGGATGTAGTTCATCTGACCCTGGAGACTTGAATTCAGATATACAAATTAGACTTGTGTGTTGGTTTACTTTTTGATGTCTGGATGTGGTGCTTCAGCACAACTTTGCAGTGTATAGAAATGGTAAAAGCAATGCTCTCTGTTGCCAGCAAAAAGATTAAAACTTTGCA